ATAATTGGTGACGATGGAAGAATATGATTGAATGTATTTAAAATATCGCTCCGACGGTTCCAACCATCTCTTCCTCTTCTTCTATAACCGTCGGAGCGTCGTCGAAAAAAGACAATTTTTGTTTAGTAATCAGTTGAGCACGTTGGATAATATTGGATTGACGTGCAGCTATAGCATTTAAAACTGAAACAAGTGATTTTGATAATGGAACTTGTGCAGTAGTAGTAGTAGTAGCAGAATCAGTTAATTTCTTCTTTTCATTGACAATAATATTTGTATGACTACGAATTAATTCTTCACTTGTCGTAATCTCTAATGTGAGTAGATCATATTTGAATTGAGCAATGGTTTTAAGACGTCGAGATGATAATGTAGCACGTTTATCTGCATGAAGTACAAGTTGTTTCAACATTTGTTCTGCATTATCAATAGAATGATCGAGTATACTGAACGAAGCAGGTAATCGTTTGGTATAGATACGTTGTTTTAATATGGCCACATATTCTTCCATATGTTGTTTATCAAATGTTGCTTGCCATATAATTTTTGCTGATCTAATCTACATATTAAACAAATACATATATTTACAAAAAAAAATAAACTTTTATCTATGAATTATTCAAACCTGATCTTCAGATGGATTCAATTTATAAAATGCTTGTACTAAACAATAATCATTGGCATCCAATTGTAAGAGTTGTTTTCTTCGTTGAAAATCAGCGGATAATTTATATTGACCTTTTCGTACAAATGCAGGAATCACCATTGATAATTTCTTTAGATCAATGAATTGGTCAGTTATCAATTGTTTATGTTTATCTAATCCATTCTCTGATTGTTTTAATTCTTCGATGATCATCTGTCGACGTTTCTGTATATTATTTTGTGTCATAAAATAAATTCGATTTAAATTATTTTCTTTAATTATTTGTTTTGATAATTCCAGAGACCATATACTTGTAGTTGTAGTTATCTTATAATAATGATCCCAATAATCTTGTTTTAATCGAAGATAGAACAAGTCATTAACTAATTGTGCATAAGTACGAGCATATTGTAATTTCTCTGGTGTATCTAATGATTGAATAGTATTTTCTACACCTTCTAATGCTTTTGATAACATCTGTTTGAAGACATGATCTGATGTATTCAAATAATTTGGTTTTATTTTGTCTGCCGATTTCTTAGAATTAGTCTTAACTTGAGTCAAATCAATAATTGTTGTTGAACGTTGTCGTTTGGTCAAAGGTTGAGCAATAGACACTTGACTGATAGATGTTGTCACACCTCCTCGTAGTTCTCGTTTTCGCTTTGTTGCCATTTCTTGAACCATTCCATGTACTTCTTCCTGTGCCTATGATGTTACTTTTTTATTTGAAAAAAATATACGAAAAGAGAGGTATCCTACCTGTTGATGTAATTCAATAAAATCTTGTACATTCACATCAGTATTCTGTACATTTTCTTCTTCTTCTTCTTCAGGTCGAGATGGATTATTGTATGTATTTATTACTGTTGTAATTGCTTCAGTATTCAATCCTTGTCTTTTCAATTTTGCTCTAAATCTTTGTAGTTTACGATTACCACGACATTTCTTTTTCTTGTTCTTCTTCGATTCTGCTTGCGACTGTATAACTTCTTCTGCCGTGGAAAGGATCAGATCATGTGGTTGACCTTCTTGCAGATCTGACTTATCAGTTGACATTGCACTAAATAATAACCAAAATCTACAATAGAAGATAAGATAAGCGAAACAAATAGAAAATGAAAAAGAAAAATAATGTTTATTATTGGAAATGAGGATTGAGGCGAGGATTCATTCTTTTTCGTGTCTCATGCAACATGCTAGGACGACGAACAAGATTTTGACACCAATTACCACGACGATCATCAACCATGCGTGCATTTATATCATTACAATTATTGTTTTCAACAATCATACCATCTAAATGACCCAATGTATTTAATTTAGTTTGAGCATGTGTAATAAATAATGCTTCGATTAATCGATAAAATAATTCGGAACAATTCTCCGGTACTAAATATAAATAATGCAGAAAGAACTAGATGATATCTAATAGACTGACTTACAAACAGCAATGATGGTAGCATTATATAGATCTAGATGAACGTTAGGCTGAAGAAGATCATATTTCTCTTTGAACATATAAAATTGTTGAGTACGTTGATTTGTCGAAAACATATAGTTTTCTGAAGGTAATGAAGGTAAATCAATCATGTATGTACTAGCTTCTTGATCACGACGTGAATGAGTATTCGATGGAAACATTGTAATATTACTTGGGAAATCAGATGTAAGATTTTGTGTTCGTGCTTCCATCTTTGACATCGGTACGAAACACCAATATTGTGGATTACAATCCAGAAACATTTGAATAGCATATGAACAACGAGCTGAATGTTTGTAAAGTAATTGATTATCAACTGTTAATTCTCTGAAATTAATGTATGTATAATAAAATAGATATATATCGAAAAGAATTGAATTACTCTTGTGATTTAGTTTGTTGTCGCATACGACTACTATTTATCGAACCAAGAATAAATTCATGCATGATTCGATTACCATGCTCACGATGATCTATATATATATATATAGAAAATAACTATCATTTATTAAAAATCAAATATACTAACATTTAAGTTGTTCATCTAATGACATTGCTGTATATCCAATATAATCATATTGGCCACATGGACATGTCAATGCATAGAGAATATTCTTTGTAGTACAAGTCTAAAGAAATCAAAGAGATTAAAAAATTATATGTGTGATAGTATATACCGCTGGACAATTAAGAATAGCTTCATATCCATTGACAAAACGATGTTTCTGTGCTGATGAAAATTGAACAACTGATTGACTTTGTCGACCACGAGTAAGAATATCAGTGATGGGAAAACAAAATCGACATGTAACTTGTTCACATGATTTTAGACCATAGAGAGATTTTGGTTCATCAATAGAGAAGATACCATGATGATTGTATAATGATGGTTGAGCATTACGAAAACAACATGTTTTCATAAAAAATAATTCATCTAAAATACATACATAATCATATGATCATAGGAAACAAAAAACTGTATACCATCAATTTGTAGATAAAACTCTAATGCTAGAGCATACTCATCGATACGTAATTTTTCACTACCAATAGTAGTCTCAGACAAATAATCATATTGAATTCGTTCTTGTGTCATAATATTTAGACATTGACGAAGACGTTCATAATTATAATCAAGAATAGCATTATTAACATGAAAACGTTGTACTAAATCTTCATATAAATGATGATAGATATAGATAAAGAATGGTCGAACACTAATATCAACACTTTGATCAATAATAGTAAATGGTTGATGAAATGTATAATGATTACGACGTCGTTGTTGTTCATGGGTTAATTCTTGACAAGATACATTTGCCAAAAGTAAATGATCTCGATTAATAGGTCCAAATCGATCAAATGTTGGATAGGCTGGTAACAGAGATAGACGATTCATAATAGGATTTGAACATTTTAAAGGTTGAATTTGTTGCTTTTCTATTGATGATTGTATGGAACTATTCTGTTCATCGTCGTTCTTTGTTGATAAGGAAAGATCTCGACAAAAATCGATTTGTTGTGATTGATGCATTTCCATTTTCAATAAAATACAAAAATGGTATCTAGAAAGCAAAGAAAAAACAAAATGCTGGATTTCTTTAATTCTCATGCAAATCTTGATTAACAATAAAGAAAGAAGAATAGAATAACATGCAATTGATAGTTCGATTATATATGTTAATATGTGAACAGTGACAACTACTGATCACCATTGATATTAATGAGGAAAAACAATGTTACGACACCAATAACCACGACCAAGAATTGTATTACTGTTCACATGATTCCTCTCATTGTTGTTGTTGTCGTCGTCATCATTATCATGACAAAGTCGACCGAATGTATTCAATTTAGCTTCTGTATGAGTAATAAAAAGAGCTTCAATAAATCGTCGAACAACTTCTGAGACATCCAGTGGTACTTCAATAATAATAACAGAGAAAGAAATCAATTACTTAAAAATCTTGAAATATGAAATTAGTTAACACTTACAAACAGCAATGATAGCAACATTGAATAGATTAACTGATTGATCTAGTTTAGGTAGTATATCCTTTTTAGCTTTGAAATATTGAAATTGTTCTACACGTTGACGTCTGGAAAAGCTAAAACCTTTAGGTGGATATGGTAAATTTCGCATACAGGTTCGTACTGATTCATCAGCACGTGTCTTAAGTGTTGCTGTTATCGCGTTCTTATCTTTATGAGTAATTGAAGTTGGATGAACACGATCGAGTAACATTAATGATGGTGGAAGGCTATAACGTTCATCTTGTGGATCAATTTCATTGATTGGAATAGGTACGAAACATGAACAGGTTGGATTGAAATTCAGAAATGTTTGAATAGTCGATGGACATCGAGCTGCATGTTTATACAAGAGCATTCTATCTTTCACATTTGTTCTATATAGAAATAATTTAAAACAAAATCATATTCTAAAAGGGATTTAATTTAATTTCAACTTACTCAAAATCTTTGACTTTATTTCGAGTCAATTCAACATTTCTTTCACCAATTAAAAATTCATGAATAATTCGATTTGCATGTTTACGATGATCTTTAAATAATAGATTGATTTATATGTTTCTCGAGTTCAAAAACTTACACCACAGACGATCATTAAGACGTTGTCCTGTTTCACCAATATATTCGAATTTACCACATGGACATGTCATCACATAGATAATATTTGGTGTTTTACAATTTGCATCACAGTTGAGTATCGATTTATATCCATTAAGGAATCGATGTGTATAACCTGAATAAAATCGAATTGTAGGTTGTTGTCGATAACGCATAGTATTGTGTAATGGTTTACACAGTGGACATCTGCCACATGCGAATAGACCATAACGAGCATCGGGCTCATCACGACAGAAAAGGCCTTCATCGGCTGAACGTGGTTCAGCACCACGAAATGAACATGTTTTCATGAAGAAAACATCCACTAAAGACAATCATCAAAATAGACGATATATTATTGATAAAGAAAGAAAAAACATACCGTCAAATTGTAAATAAAATTCCAGAGCAATTTGTTTTTGTATATGATTTAAAATAAATTGTTCAGGTTTATTTTTAAGACGTCTAATACAATCTTCAGCAAATATACGGAAACATACTAACATACGATCTAGATTGTAATCAATAATGGCTCCATCAACATGATATTTATTAATCGATGAAGTTATGAATGAATGATATTCAATACGAAAATATGATGGTATTTCAGAATTCATTTCATTGATAGTATATGCCAGTGAATAAACATCTTTTTCACGTCGTGCCAATTGTTCTTCATTAAGTTTATATTCTATAGATGTAAATAAAAAACATGATTAGATTATTATGAGTCTGATAAAATTTGTTAGCCATACCCGGTACATTAGGCAATAGTAAAGGTGGATGACGAACGAAGAATACTGTTGGAAAAGCCGGTAAAATATGATATCGTCCACTGTTTTGCTTCAAAGTAAGTGGTACATACGGTATCACTGCTCTTCGTCGTTGTTGTTGTGCTGGTCTCGCCGATGATGAAAATGATTGTTGTTGTTGTTGTTGTGCTGGTATCGCCGATGATGAAAATGATTGTTGTTGTTGTGCTGGTCTTGCCGATGATGATAATAATGATTGTTGCTGTTGTGCTGGTCTCGCCGATGATTGTAGTATTAATACCGGTAATGCTGATGCTCCTGGTCTATGAGATGGTTGTTGATCATGTAAATTTCTTACGATGCGCGTAGTAACACTTGACGAAATTGGAAGTTCTGTCGTAGGACTAATTTCAATAACGTCACTATCTGATGAACGATTGTCTTCTTCATCTGAATCATCCCATAAATTTGAATGATTTGTCAATTGCATTCTTCGATTATGATGAGCCGTGAATAAATCTAAAATTAAATGATGAAATAAAAGAAAGAAAACTAATTAATTGAACATGCAAGATAAAGTAAATGCTTGATTAGATAAATGATAGAATGAGAAGGAAAAAAAAGAGTGTCATTGTTCATATAAGTAATTGTGAATGACGACGTATTAAATTAATACACCAAGAATCATGTAGATCACCATTCGGATTAGACGGTTCATAGACGAGATGACCAAATTCATTTAATTTACATTCTGCATGTGTAATCAAGAGAGATTCAATGAGTTCTGTAAAGAGTTCCGAACAATTATCTGGTACTAATTAATATAGAATAGGAATAGTTCAATGAAGGAAATATTTATATATACATACAGATTGCAATACTATCAGCATTGTATAGATCAACATGATCACGTGGTACATTAAAATCTTGTAAGGATTTAAAGAAATGTGTCTGTTGTTGATTTTGATCAATGGAAAATTGAAAACCTAATGGTGGTTTTGGTAGATTCTCTATCAATAAAAGAACTTCGTCATCCGTACGACTCCAGGATGTTTCATTTGAAGCGCAAACAAATGATGCCTGTTCTATAGGTGTATAGATCATGTTGATCTTCATCGATTTCATTGGTACAAAACACCAATAAGCAGGATTGTAATCCAAAAATAATTGTAAAGCATCTGGACAACGTGATGAATGTTGATAGAGCCACATTTTATCATAAAGTTTTTGTCTAGTAATAAATAAGATTTAATATATTCTCTATTAATCAATGACTTATTACTCTTCAGATTTGAAACCATTTGTAATAAGATTGATATTACGTTGACCAATGAGGCATTCTCGTATGATACGATTGCCTTCTTCTCGATGAACTAAATAAGAATATATATATGTAAATATATTCGAACTAGAGAAAAATAAAACTTACGAGCCATTATTTCAGCAAATGATTGTTCTTTAGTTGAACCAATAAAATCAACTTGACTACAAGGACATGTTAAAACATAGATACAATTATTACTTTCACATGTCTACATATAGATAAAAGATTATTGTTCATATTAAACTATGAATTATACATACTGCTGGGCAATTCAAAATAGCTTCATATTGATTCACAAAACGATGAATATGTGGTGTAGAAAATTGAATTGCTTTTCTTTGTTTAGTCTTAACCAAACTACGACGTGGACATGGTGAATGACAACAATGACAATATGATTTATTACAAGGTTTCATAACAAATCTTGCTTCTGGTTTATCCAAACAGAAGAGACCTTCAAGAATACGATCTTCGAATTGCCGTAATTGTACACCATTGAATGAACATGTTTTGAGAAAGAACATGTCAACTAAATATTGACAATATTTTTGTTTTACTATATCTATCTAGATCAATAAGAATGAACTTACCATCAATTTGTAAATAGAATTCCAATGCTAAAGGTAATTCATCGATAGAGAGCATTGTTTGTCGCTGACCACGTTGTTCAACGACTTTATCAATACATTGACGAAGACGTGTTAAATTGAAATCAAGAATAGATGTACCCACGTTTAAGCGTTTCTTTAATTTCCTATAAAGATTGTCATAGAAACATAACAGAAATGAATTACATAAACTTGTTTGATGATCATCATCTGATTTCACTTGAGTATGGTCAAGATTCATTTTCAATTTGAATAATTTAGGAAAACGATAAAAATGAGCACGCTCATATTGTTCTTGCGTTAATGATACAACTGTAAGTAAAAGAATAAGAAGAAAATTCTAAATAAAGAGTCTCATACGTGACACATTTGCTAAGAGCAAATTTGCTATTGTTGGTGAT